CGGCGACTGCGCCTACGCCGGCACCAGCGCCAACGCCTACGCTAGCACCGAGGCTAGCGCCGACGCCAGCACTCACGCCAGCACTGACGGCGGCAGCGCCGACGCCTGCGCCTACGTCGTCACCAGCGCCAGCGCCTACGCCAGCACCGAGGCCAGCACCGACGCCAGCACTAACGCCAGCAATGACGGTGGCAGCACCGACGCCTGCGCCTTCGCTGGCACCAGCGCCAGCGCTTCAGCCAGCACCAAGGCCAGCACCGGCGCCAGCATTAACGCCAGCACTGACGGCGGCCGCACCGACGCTTGCGCCTACGCCGGCACCAGCGCCAGCGCCTACGCCAGCGCCGACGCCATCACTACCGACAGCACTGAAGGCGGTTGCACCGACGCCTGCACCTACGCCAGCACCAGCGCCAGCGCCTACGCCAGCACCGAGGCCAGCTTCGACGCCAGCACTAACGCCAGCACTGACGGCGGCAGTACCGGCGCCTGCGCCTACGCTGGCACCAGCGCCAACGCCTACGCCAGCACCGACGTCAGCACTGTCGCCAGCACTACCGCCAGCAGTGGCGGCTGCAGCGCCGACGCCTGCGCCTGCGCCGGCACCAGCACCAGCGCCTACGGCAGCGCCTACGCCAGCACCGACGCCAGCACTAACGCCAGCACTGTCGGCGACAGCACCAGCGCCTTCGCCTACGCCAGCACCAGCGCCAGCGCCTATGCCAGCACTGAGGCCAGCACCGTCGCCTGCACCAATGCCAACATTGGCTGCGGCTGCACCGGCGCCTGCGCCTATGCCGGCTACGGCGCGGGCGTCTACGCCAGCACCGACACTAGCATTGGCGCCAGCACTACCGCCAGCAGCACTAACTCTCACGCGCTATGTGGGCGACGGCTGAGGGCGGTAGTAGCGGAGAATCGCTTCAGCCGGCAACGCTGCGTTTGCCATGGCAGAAATTTTAAGCTGTTGGGTCTCACCGATCCGCTCCCACCCTTCGGGCAGTGCGGCTTCCGTACTCGGTGAATCCATTTGCTTTCGGCGGTTGGCGCACCGCGTGTCAATACGGCCTGCTCGGCTCTTCTAGCCGTCCGCCCCTCCCTGAGCCCCCCCTTTGTGCTCAGGTCGCCTCTCTTGTCGCTGCCTTACTGAATGCCGGCCCTACTGCGTGGCCCCACTTTCACCCTGCGGCCGCCCGCCGAAACCTTGTCACTTCGCAAGGGCTTTGAGCCTGGGTATGGCTGCTCCGCCGATCTCCTCGGCGGCCAGACGGAGCTCACCGTCTGAGAGCGGTGCCGCACGGCCCGCGCGCGCTGGGCGGGCCCGCACACTTTCGGGCCCCCTCGCGCACGCGCGCCGCGGCCGCCGCCCGGAGACTGCTCGCTTGCGCCGATGCGGGAGAATGCACGCTCTTATTCTCCAGCCTCTCGCGCCCTAGCAGTCTCTGCAGCTTCTCGGCCCCCCACCTCTCCCCCCCTCCTTTCACAAGGCTGACCTGCGGCGCTGCTCCGCCGATCTCCTCGGCGGCCAGACGGAGCTCACCGTCTGAGAGCGGTGCCGCACGGCCCGCGCGCGCTGGGCGGGCCCGCACACTTTCGGGCCCCCTCGCGCACGCGCGCCGCGGCCGCCGCCCGGAGACTGCTCGCTTGCGCCGATGCGGGAGAATCATCATCATCATCATCATCATCATCATCATCATCATCACCATCATCATCATCATCATCATCACCCGTTACAGCACACCCCTGACACGTTTCAGAGTGCTGGGCAGCGTCCGATGCCTCCTCATCCTCCTCTTCTCCCCTGGGAGGCGGCGCGAGAGCTCGATGCTATTCGCGCTACAGGCAGCGCGAAGCGCGAATTTGGGAGCCCTTGAGAGTGTTGGGAAACGTGCGGTTCGTATGTTTTTTTTTCACGGGGGGGTGGGTGGGGTGGGGAATCTTGGCCCAGGTGTGTGTCTGGTCTGGTGGGGGAGCGGGTTTTATGCACTAGGAGCAGTGACAGCCCCCTCCCCGCAGGGGAAGAAGGGGGTGGAAGAGGCAACGATTAGGTCGGGCATGTCCCCCTACAGACGGATTTTGGACGACAAATTTACAAAATACCTTAAACATGTTCCAAACATGCTGAAACATGGTAACACCATCGTCCCCAGAGTATTGTTTGACTATTTGTGAATACTCCTCTGGTAGAGGGACTGATCCGATTTGAGGCAAAGACCCAAACCACCTCTGCCCTGAAGAGCTGGTGGGACTATCGCGGGTCGGCGTGGAAGCCTTCTGTTTGCTCTGGACCGCGGGAGCCGCTGACGACGATGTGGCTGAGGAGTGCGAGGGGAATACTACAACTCCCTTCTTCTTCGTCCCCCGGGTCCGGTTTTGTAAGGCGCCTTTTCTGTAACTGAGGGGGGGGGTCCGGTTCATTGGAGTTCAGGGGGTCCAGCTCATCAAGGCGCCCCGTCGAAGAGGGGGGTCCGGAATGTTAGGTCGCATTTGGTTTTTTAGGGGGGGTCGATTCATGGATTTTGGAGTACGACAGGGGAAGCGCGCACGCGCCATATTTGACATCCTGTCCCTCCCATTTCTTCCCTTCCCGTTGCGCTGATTTGTTCGCTGTCCGCGGGCGTGTGTCATAGCCGACGTGGATCTCCAGCGGCAGCCCAGCGTGTGGTACGCAGTCAGACACAAACGGGAGCTGTGCACACGGGAGCGGGAGGTGGCGGGTGAGCAGGAGGGTGACCAGGACGGACCTGGAGGAGGACAGGGCAGGAGGGGGACGAGGACGAACAGCAGCAGCGGGAACTGTATTGGACGAATCGGGGGGAGCAGGAGGGCCAGGAGCAGGCGGAGGAACGGGAAAAGGGTGGGGCGACACCGAAGAGGAAGGCTTCGTATCCAGACAAGCGCCCTTCTTGACGACAGGAGCGACGCGCCGATCCGAACATGGGGCCCAGACTGCAGCGGTCAGGAACACCAGGGCGATACACCAGAAGGAACTGGTATGTAAACCAAGCCATGTGAAAGACTATTTGTTGTCCACGTCTGTGATTAACGAAGATTGCGCGGAAAGGGCGGAACATGTTCTGGGCAGAGGCGTGGGAGAGAGGAGAGTAGTATCCATAACGTGCAATTGTGGGGGAGGACGAGGGTAGATGTGAGGAGGAGGAGGAGGAGGAGGAGGAGGAGGAGGAGGAGGAGGTGGAGGGGACACGAGAAGGAGGAGGAGGAGGAGGAGGACGAGGAGGAAGGAAATCGTGCAGAAGGGACAGGTGTAGGAGGAGAGAGAGGAGGGGGAGGAGGGAGGAGGGAGGAGGGAGGAGGGAGGAGGGAGGAGGGAGGAGGAGGAGGGAGGAGGGAGGAGGAGGAGGAGGGAGGAGGAGAGGAGGAGGAGGAGGAGGAGGAGGAGGAGGAGGAGGAGAAGGGGGAGGAGCATGATGAGCAGGAGGAGGGAGGAGAGGGAGGAGGCCGAGGATAAGGTGAGGAGGAGGAGGAGGAGGAGGAGGAGGAGGAGGAGGAGGAGGCCTTGGCCTCGCCCCCCGACGTCGCCGCTGCTCCGCCCTCCCTGGGCCGCCGAAGGCGAGGACCTCTGCAACGCGACGGCCGAGTATCCCGCCGGGGCTGCCGCCGCCACGCCCGCCGTCGTGGGGACCCGCGGGCCGCCACGGCCCGGTGGCCCGCAAGAGGGCAGCGTCAGGGGTTGGAGCGGGCTCGAGCTCCGAGAGGTTCGAGTCCGCAGGCTCTCGGACGTCTTCGTCGCTGCTCGGCGCCTCTCTCGGGGTCTCGGGATGCCCGCCAGCGGCAGCGCCTCCGCCGCGAGGGCGCCGCGCCTGCCTGGATCCTCCCGAGGAGCCGCAAGAGACCCGAGTGCTGCCCCGAAGACCGCCAGAGGGCGGAGGTGGGCTCCAGGGGGGAGGGGGCGGGGCGCGCAGCGACCCCCAATCGGCCATGGATCGCCGATGCAGTCGGGGCGCTGAAGAGGGAACCCTGTTCATTGGGGAGGGGCTCGGTGCTCCTTGACTGTTTCAGAGTTTGCCTCGGGTATTCCGGAGGTTCCATCCATGGGAAATCGAGGTTGAACGCATGGGAAAAGAGGGGCCTCGTGCCTCGTTCCGGGCTCCTTGGGTCAACGCCTCGACTGTATAGGCCCACCCCGCCCAGGACCGCGCGGAGGATTCGCTATCGGGGGCCGATCGCCGATCGATCTATTGTCGATGCATCGCCGATTCATAGGGGGGACTCCAGGTCCATGTTGTCCTCTCTCTCCCGATTGTCTGTTGTCTTTTTAAGGGGGAATAGAAAACGTATCGACCATAGATCCCCATAGATCGTCAACATATCGACAAGATATCGGCATATATCCCTGTTTTATCGACATGGGTCGATAGAACAGGGAGGAAACTATGGTCCATGTTTCCTCCCTGTGCCAGTTCCCCCCCATCGTTGCCTCAGGCCCTCGCAGGCCGTCACCGTTGTGGACGCAGCCAGGTCGGCTGGCTGCCCTGAAAACTGAGTGAGTGGCCTCGGCCGAGGAGGAGGCCGCGGAGGAGGAGGAGGACGAGGAGGAGGAGGAGGAGGAGAAGAGGAGGAGAAGAGGAGGAGGAGGAGGAGGAGGGGGAGGGGGAGAAAGAAGAGAAGGAGGAGGAAGAGGAGGAGGAGGAGGAGGCCGAGAAGGAGGAGGAGGAGGCCGATGAGAAGGCCGAGGAGGAAGAGCAGGAGGAGGAGGAGGAGGAGGAGGAGGAGCAGGACAGGAGGACATGAGTAAGAAATGGAGGAGGAGGAGGCGGAGGAGGAGGAGGAGGAGGAGGAGGAGGTGGAGGAGGTGGTGGGGTCCGAGGAGGTGGAGGCCGAGCAGGAGCAGGAGGCAGAGCGGGCAGGAGGAGGAGGACGAGGAGGAGGATGAGGCCGAGAATCGGTGCCAGGAGGAGGCCGAGGAGGCCGAGGATGGGGGAGGCACGGCGCCAGTCGTCGCCGCCTCCCCGAGCCAGCCGGGAGCCGCCCCGTCCGAGATTCGCGGGCGGGGCCGGGCGGGCTTCGCCGGGCTCGGCGACCTGCCGCCGAGCAGCGACGTCGCCTGCTTCGCGGTCGCCGCCCTCGGCGCTGGCCGTTGCCGACCGCCGTGGCGGTCGTCGCCGATTGCCGCTGTCGTGGCTGTGGGCGTCGTCGTCGCCGCCGCCGGGGCCTTCGGCCGGTGCGGCCCCGCTGCGGTTCGTTCTGGCCACGGCCGGCGCGCGCCGAAGACAGCCCCCGGGGGGTGTGTTCGATGAGGTCGTGGTCGCATGCTGTCCCCGCAGCGCGATCGTCACCGATCGCCGTCGTGGGCGTCGCCTTGGGCGTCATCGTCGCCGGGGGCGTCGTCGTCGAAGTCGTCGTCGTCATGACCTTCTGTCGTCGTGGTCGTCCGTGGTCGTGGTTGTCCGTCGTCCTCGTCGTGCGCCACTGTTGCCGGCAGGGTTCGAGCATGTTCTTCACCACTCTCAGCCTCCAGTGTCCCACTCAGTGGCCGGAGGCCGTCGAAAATCGATCCGTGAAGAAGAAACTGTCCTATCCAAGTGGATTCATTTTCGGCAAAGTTCCGTCGGTGTCGCCGTCGACGCCGTTGTCGCCGCCGCCGTTGTTCGTCGTTCGAGGCTCGAGGTAACGCTTGAGGGTAGAGGTCTTTGACATTCCAGACGCTGTTCTTTTGGCGTCTTGGGGCGCCCGCATCGTTACGATTGGCCTTCCCTGGGTCGTCGCCCTATGGTCAGAATTAACCCGGGAAGAGGGCGGGGGTCAGTTTCTTGAGGCGTCGTCGTCGCCGCTGCTGTTGGTGAACACGCGCGCTGGGTGCCAGGCTCTGCCCCCCCTAAGCAGCGGGAGGGCCCGTGAGCTGTGGCGCCATGCACGGGCCCGCAGACTGTGTGTTGGCCTCGGTGTTGTTAACGTCGTCGTCGTTGTCAATCGTCGTCTTCAGCGCGCTGTCGACGTCGTCGCCGCCGTCGCCGTCCGTCGTTGTCCGTTCATTGCTCGTCGTTTTCGGCGGTCGTCGTTCGCGTTTGATCGTGAGTCGTCGTGGTCGTCGTCGGTCGATCGTCATCGAAGCCGTCGTCAACAACATTCGTCATCGTCTTCAGTCGTCAGTTGTCATGGTTTTCGGTGGTCGCCAGCGCGTCGTCGTCGTGTGAGTCGTGCTCGTCGTTGCCGTCGCCAACGTCGTCTTTAGTCTTCAGCAGTTAGTCGTCATGGTTGTCCGTCATCCTCGTCGTCAGCGTGCCGTCATCGTTGTCGTCGTCGTGTTCATCGTTGGCAGCGTCGTCGGTGTCGCCGTCCATCGTCATAGTCGTCAGCGCGCCGTCGTCGTTGTCCTCCGTCGTCGACGTTATCTTTTTGTCGTCCGTCGTTGGTGTCGGTCATTCAGTCTTCTATCGTCTATCGCCTGCCACCTATCGTCGTCGTGGCGGGGGGAACAATGGTAGGACAAGGATGAATAGGAGGAGAAGGGGGATTTAAGACATGGGTGAGACTAGTAGGCGAGGTTGGGGAGGAGAGGGGAGAATCCCCCCTCCTTTCTCACCTATGCATCCTATCTCGTCTCTCATCGTCTCCTTCCTCCCTGCCTCTGCCCTCCCCTACAGCTGTCTTTCTCTCTGTTTCAATCGTCGTTGTTTCTCTTGTTCTCTTTGTTTCTCTGTCTCCTTCACCCTCTCTCTCTCTCTCGCTATATTTATATTTATATGTGTATATATATATATATATAAATATATCAGTGTATCGATATATCCACTTCACACGCGCAGGTGGTCGCCGTTGACGGAGACGGGAGGAAGGAAGGAGCAATGAGGAGGAGCAGTAGGTGGAATACAGCCAAAATTGGCGCAAAGGATACCTGGCTTCCTTTGCCAGGACGGGAAAGGTCCTGAGGGGAAAGGTCTTGGAGATGTTTCGCCGTTTTCAAGCTCCCGTGGCCCTCCACTGGCCCAGTGACTGTCAAAGAACGATTCAGGGTGAGCAACTTGCTTGTCTTGGCAAAAAAAGTATGCGGTCTAGGACCAGTTTCCCTCAGGGCCCCCCCTGATGCTGTGCCCTTGCGTCCTTCAAATGTGCGCATCCTTGCACGCATCCTCTGCCTTGCCCGGTCCCAGTCTTGTTGTGGCCCTGCCGTTTTCTCTCCATCTTGGCGCGGCCTGGTTGCTATGCATCCTTGCGCTCCATCATATTGGCTGGTTCCGCCGGGTCGTTAGGTGTTCGATCATCGACCTTTGCTGAACGCAACCATCCAGCTTTCACGCAATGGTTATTCCACTGGAAACCGCCAAAGGCCGCCGACGACCGTCAGAAGGCCGCTGGAAACCGCCGAAGGTCACCGAAGACCGTCCCAAGACCTTGAAGACGGCTCAGGACCCATGGATAACAATGGGCGGCGAGCGAGGGGGGGAAATGAGAAGGCCCTCTCAGAAGGCGGCGTGACTTCTCAGAAGCCCTCGCGCCTTCTGAGAAGCTCTCTGTGTCTTCGGGGAAGGCTCAGAAAAAATCAGAAGGCCAGGGGACCTCCGAGCCTTCCGAGCAGGCCCGCTCCTTCTCGCCTCCCCCCCCTCGCTCGCCGGCGAAACAGGGGGTCCCTGGCCGAACAATCAGAGGTTCGGCAGAAGAGGGCTACCAGAGAGCAGGGGGGCAAGACAGCTCCTGCGTGCAGCTGGTTTCGGCTCCGCCGCCGGGCGCTGTCTTGGACGCCGTGGCGCCTTCGGCGCGGGGAGGCGCCGGGGCAGCCGGCTGCGCGAGTTCGTCAGTGAGGGTCTATCCTCACATCCACCCAGACATGATCGCGTCGTAGCAAATCAGGACCCCCAGGGGCCCTCGCCGGGCTATTTTGGCTATTTTCGGCCCCCGGGGGCCCTCGCCGGGCCTCGGGATCGTCAAGAAGCGACTCAGGACGAGGCACCGGTCCTGGGGAAAGGGTCGGGACTTCAAGGGACGCCGTCCTGAAAACATCAGGGCGTCACATGTCTGGTCACGAAGCCCTGGTGCCCACGACTGTTCTCCCTCCAAGGCTGCGCGGGGAATTGATGCCGCGTCAGCGCCGCGACCGAGCCATCCGCGTCAGGAAGCCAGGATCGGGCCGGACGAAAGGGGGGGAGATTGGGAACGGGGGGGGTACGAGATTAGCTGCATATAGAGCTGGTCTCGGCCCCGCCGCGGGGCGCATTCCTCAACACATGGGCGCCTCCAGCGCCGGGAGGCGCCGGGAAAATCAGCTGCGCGAGTGGATTCTCACCCCCCCCCCTTTGCCATCCCCCCCTTTCGCTCGACCCGACGGGAGTTCGCGAATCATTCGCGCACTCCTGGCTCACTGGCCCCTCTGCTCGGCCGCGCGCAGAGGTGGCCCGGGGGGACGGGGGAAGGCTTCTTAGAAGGAGGATGGTTCGTAGTCGTAGCATGAAGTCGGGCCCATCCCTCTACAGGAGGAATCTTCCAAACTAGTTGTTAAAAAGATAGCCAGGGGGCGATGTTGTGAATAATTGTTTGCCATGTTGGGTTTTTGGCGTGCTATTTTGTATTTGTCGTCCAAAATCCCCCTGCGGGAGGACACGACCGACCTCATCGTAGCAGGCGCGGACCTCATCTGTAGATGCAAGGCTGGCGCTCTCTGAGAAACAGCCTCCTTCTAGGAGGCCCTCCCCCTCGACCTATGCCTCCTTGTGCGCGCCGCCAACCTTTCGCCGGGACCAATACAGGAGGCAAAGGAACACACATCCACAATTCATCGTCGATTCCCTAGAAATAGATGAGCAAAGGTGCGAAGTGGGGGGGGGGGAAAGACGACAGTCCCAAAAATGTTGAAAACATGTAGGGGATCCTGGGATTTGTGTGTATTTATTTGTGTGTGTGTGTCCCCAGGCCCCTTCACCAAGTGCTGGCGCATTCTGAGAAGCAGCCTCCTTCTAGTAGGCCCTCCCCCCTCCCCCTGTACAGCCGGGGCGCTGAAGAAAGAACCCTTCTGCGCTGGGGAGGGGCTCGGTGTTCCGTGATTGTGTTACGGCTTGCCTTAGGTTCTATTAGGTCTTCGGTGGGGAATCCAAGTCAAGCCCTCCGGGAACAAGGGACCTCGTTCCTTCTTGATCGTTCTGAGGGTCAAATCAGCAAATATTGCCTTAGGTTATCTTAGGCTTTCGGTGGGAAGTCGAGGTCAAGCCCTGAGGGAAAAAGGGGCCTCGTTCCTTTTGGATCTTCGGATGCAACTCCTGGGAGGTCAAATTCTGTTTTCGCCCTGGTCCGAAATCTGGCTCAATCCCGCTGAATCCGGCTTAATCCCGCTAAGTCCGAGGCCGCTCCCGCGTAACAGCTCCCAAGTGGGGCTTACTCCTCGTTCCTTTTCCCGACGAAAGCCTCCCAGCAGTTGCCTCCTCATTCATCGCCCCTTGGGTCGACCCGGCAGATCTTGAAAGCAAGCCTGGGGGACTCCCGGGACCTGCTTGCGGGACTCGTGTGTGCGGTTGTCCGTCCCGGGCCCCGCCCACCCCGGCCGCCTGAGGCCCCGCCCGCCTGCGCCCTGTCTCCCTACTCAAAGCTGCGCGTAGCCCGCCCAGCTTTTCGCGGAAGAGGTTCGCTCTCGCCCCGCCGACCAACAGAAAGTGTGTGGTTCAGAGCGTGAATTACCTCCCCCGCTTTCGCTTCCAGGCAAAACCAAGCCATACCACGCGCCTCCTCGTCAAGCAGCCTGACCAGCGCAGGCCGTAGTTTGGCATCGTTTGGTGCCTCTTGGAAGCGAGGGTGGTCAAAAGCGAGGTAGGTTTTTTTTCCCCCTAGTGGTTGTCCGTGTGCCCCTGGGCCCCTTCGCCCGCGTGGAGGCCGCGGGAGGAGGCCGCGGGCCCCTTCGCCCTCCCGCCCTCCCTCGCGGCTCCCCCTGGTCGAGGGCGAGGGGGCGGAGGGCAGCGCGGGGGCGGGAGGGGGGAGGAGGGAGGAGGAGCAGGAGCAGGAGGAGGAGGAGGAGGAGGGGGTGGAGGAGGAGCAGGAGGAGGAGGAGGAGGAGGAGCAGCAGGAGGAGGAGAAGGAGGAGGAGGAGGGGGTGGAGGAGGAGCAGGAGGAGGAGGAGGAGGAGGAGGAGGAGGAGGAGGAGGAGGGGGAGGAGGAGGAGGAGGCCACCTCCCTCCTGGCCTCCTCCGCGGCTATCCCAGGTCGAGGGCGAGGAGGCGGAGTGCAACGTGGGGGTGGGCCCCCACGACATGGCCAAGGGCAGCAAGGATCGGCGGCGAGCGTGTCCCTCTACAGGAGGACTATTCAAAAATAGTCAAAAAGATAGGCGGGGGACGTTTTTTCTACTATTTTTGAACATTTGTGACTGCTTGGGAGCATGTTTGGACTATTTCCCGGAAAGGGCGTGGGCCCAGGGTTCTCTTTTAGGGGTTTGCCCCCCGATCTGACGGTTGTAGGGCCGGCGAATTTCTTTTGCGATAAATAAAAAGGTCGCGTAGGGCCGGCGAATTAGAATTTAAGGATGTCCTTAGCGAAACGCTTGTTTGAGGATGTCTCGAGCGACACGCTTGTTTTGTGTTCAAGATTGTCCTCTCCTGGGGACCCGAATTCAGAGGATCTCTCAAGTGAAATGCTTGTTTTTATGTGCCCAGGTCTTGAGGATGTCTCGAGCGAGAGGCTTGGTTTCACGCCTCCAGGTTGCCCAGACAGATGTCTAGCATGAGGATTTGTTGAGGATTTCTCGAAGCAGAGACTTGTTTTCACGTGTCCAGGTCGCCCAGGCGGATGTCTAGCATGAGGATGTGTCGAGGAAGTCTCGATCGAGACGCTTGTTTGCACGTGTCCAGGTTACCCAGGCGGATGTCTAGCGTGAGGATGTGCTGAGAACGTCTTAAGCGAAACGCGTGTTTTCATGTGTCCAGGTCGCCCAGGCACAGCACAGCCCTCGGCACGGTACATCAATATCGATACCTTGAGCATTGCAGCTTGGCATGTTGCCTGGCACGTCCCGCGGAGCGTTCCGTGGCGAGTCCCCCTGGCACGTCGCGCGGTGCACGTCACGTCCATTGGCACGTTCTGTAGCACGTCCCCTTGGCACGTCCCGCGGTGCGTGCCCATGGCACGTCTCCTGGCACGTCGCCTGGCGCGTCCCTTGGGACGTTCCGCGGCGCGTCCTCCTGGCATGTCCCCCTGTCGATTAGTTCTGGGGCAGCTACCTCCTGCTCAGGCAGCTCGAGCTTAAGATCCAGATCAGTTCGGTCAGGACTCGGATGCAAAGAGGACTCGACCCACAACGCTATATAGAGCACAATCGCGGCATGTCACATCGCAGTTCAGCACGGCCAGCACAGCGCAGCCGTCGGCACGGTACTTCAAGATCGATACATTCAGCATTGCATTTTGGCACGTTTTTTGGCGCGTTCCTTGGCGCGTCCACCTGGCACGTCGCGCGGCGCGTCCCCTGGCACGTCCCACGGCACGTCCATTGGCACGTTCCGTAGCGCGTCCCCTTGGCACGTCCCGCGGTGCGTGCCCATGGCACGTCTCCTGGCACGCCGCCTGGCGCGTCCCTTGCGACATTCCGCGGCGCGTCCTCCTGGCATGTCCCCTCTGTCGATTAGTTCTGGGACAGCTGCCATCTGCTCAGGCAGCTCGAGCTTAAGATCCAGATCAGTTCGGTCAGGACTCGGATGCCGGGGAGGACTCGATCCACAACGCTATACATAGCACAATCGCGGCATGGAACATCGCAGTTCAGCACGGCCAGCACAGCACAGCCCTCGGCACAGTACATCAAGATCTGTACATTCAGCACTGCATTTGCCCGTCGCCCAATCAAGTGTCTTCGAAACGTTGCCATGCCTTACATTTCTATATTCCTTTCCGGGTTCGTGGGTCGATCATGCTTTTATTGCGAAGGACTTGCGACCGGTGCCGCCGACCCTGAATGGCGACGACGACGACGACGAGCGCTCTCGGGAGCCTCTTGGGGGTAGTTTGGGAGCCTCTTGGGAAGCTCTTGGGGGCCGCTTGGAAGCCTCGTGGGGGCCTCTTGGGGTCTCTGGGGGTCTCTAGGTGGCTTCTTGGGGCTTCTTAGGGACCTCTGGGGGACTCCTGAGAGCTTCTCAAGCCGAGGGCTCGAAATTTCCGTTCGCGTCCCCAGTCTGGGCTCCTCCTTGGAGCCGTTTTGGGGGCCTCGTCGGCTGTCTTGGAGGCCTCTTGGTCGGTCTTGCGGCCCTCTTGCATCTTTTCGGGGCTCTCTTGGAGGCCTCTTTGGTCATCCTGGGGCGGTCTTGGGGGCTTCTTGGCCTGTCTTGGAGCGTCCGGAAGCTGACAAGGCCAGAACGGGACATCGATGATTTTTGTTCCTTGGGACCCTCTCGGAAGTCCTCTTGGAGGCCTCTTGGGGCGTTTTGGAAACCTTTTGTTTTTTCGATGATTTGATCGCTTCGCTCATTCCGCCGGCCCTGGAGCGCTATTTGGGGGCTCTTGGGGCCGTCTTGGGGGCCTCTTGGGGTCTTCTTGGGAGCGTCTTGGGGCTGCTTGGCGGCGTCTTGGGCTCTCCTGGGGCCTCTTAGGGGGCTCTTGGGGGCCCCTTGGGGCCGGAGGGGGGGGGTAGTCGATTGCAGCCACCCCCTCGGAGGCCACGATCCTCGTGAGGGGTGGCGAAAAATAGCCTCCCCCTTGGGGATCGCCCGTGACCCGGCCGGGACCCGGCCGGGGGTCAGCCGGGGTACTTTTCGTCCGGGGGCCCCCAGGGGCTGCCCCGCGCGCGCGCACTAGAAATATTGTTAAGCCGTTACCGGAGATTAGCACGCTTCTGGCCCGTTGGGCCGGCGAATTGTTGAACATTTCTGCACATTTGTTTTCACATAGTTTTGGTTTTTTGGGGGGATTTTTCGTCCAACATCCCCCTGTAGGAGGACACGCCCGACCTATAGCAAGGATCGGCGGCGGGCCGGCGGGGGGGGAAGTGGGAGGGCCGGGCCTTCTCAGAAGGCTCGGATGGCCGTTGAGGCCGTTTGGAGCTACGGCTTCCGCCGACTCCGGCTACAACTCTTCTTGCCAACACGTCTCCTGAGGGCTTTGGCCTCCCGCGCTGCCTTCTGAGGGCTGGTCCCGCCGGACCGACATCGCGCGCTCGCCTTGCCTCGCCTCGGAAGGCCGTTTCAGAAGGCCTGGGAGGCCGCGGGTCTCTTGAGAAGCTTGGTGTGCCTTCCCCTCCAGATGCGCAGAGAGCTTCTCAGAAGGCGCGGAGGGTTCTGGGAAGCCCCACCCCCTTCTGAGAAGGCCCGCCCCCTCTCGGAGGCCTTGTCGCTGTTTGGTCCGAGCTCGGCTCTCCGGCGGCCCTTGGGGACGATCCGGGAACCCCCGGGAGCGCTTTCGGCGAGGTGCAGCCGCTGGGGCGCACCCCGAGGCCGGCAAACAGACGATAGCGCCCCAGAACCTCGAGCCTCGACCTTCCTCCCGGGGCTCGCCGCCCAAAGGATCGGGCCGAACGAAAGGGGGGGATAGGGAAAGGGGGGGGGGGGCGACATCTGCTGCATGCAGCTGGTTTCGGCCCCGCCGGGCCCATTCCTCGAGACATGGGCGCCTCCCGGCGCCGGGAGGCGCTGGGAAAGGCAGCTGCGTGAGCCGATTCTCTACCATAGCCTTTGCTATCCCCCCCGTTCGCTCGCCCCGCAAGGATCGGGGGAGCGTAAGACCCGGGTTTGCCAGGACTCGGGTTCGTCATCGTTTTTTGACGACCGCGCCTCGGATCTTGACGAGGAGGAGCTTCGTGGGATGACTGCAGCGGGAGGCCTCGTCGAAATGCAGGCTCGGCCTCGCCATTTTTGTTGACGACCTCGTCGGGGATTTCCGAGTCCCCTGTAGCCGGGTCTTACGTCCCCCTGAAAGGAGCTCAAGGAGGCGGACCCAGACGTCCCCATCGACCAGAGCGGCGAGCCCGCCGTGGACGGCGGCGAGCGGGCCGCGCAGGGCCGTCTCGCGGCGGCGCTGCGCACCGCGGGCGCGGCCGTCGTGGCCTACGACAGCGCCCCGGGGCAGCGGCGCGCGGAGGAGCAGAAGATACCCATACCTCAGAGCCCCGAATCATCAGGGGGTTAACTCGGGTCAGGGTTAACTCGGGTTCGCTTTTCGGGAATCCGAGCCCGAGTTACCCCAGACCCGAGTTGCCCCGGATAATTCGGGCGTCCAGAGCCCCACATCATCAGGGGTTAACTCGGGTCAGGGTTAACTCGGGTTCGCTTTTCGGGAATCCGAGCCCGAGTTACCCCAGACCCGAGCTGCCCCGGATAATTCGGGCGTCCAGAGCCCCACATCATCAGGGGTAACTCGGGTCAGGGCTAACTCGGGTTCGTTTTTCGGGAATCCGAACCCGAGTTACCCCGGACCCGAGTTGCCCCGGATAATTCGGGCGCCCAAATACCGTTCAGTCGGGCTTGTCCCTCTACAGGAGGATAGTTCAAGCATAGTTACAAAAGCCATATGGGGATGTTATAGTTGGGTTCTTATTCTTTGTCTTTGCCATTTTTGAGTAGGGTTTGACCATGTTCGTTGTTTCCTCGAACATCGGCCTGTAGAGGGACAGTCCCGACTTGACCATACCGCTACAGTCGGACCGGGTATGATCGATGATCTTCAGGACGTATGTTCGCCTAATGTGTCTTCACCCCATTCAGCCCAACCAGGCGATCATCACATCGCCTTCGTCGTACTGAAGGGCCTCAGTGGGCAAACACCCGTTGGCGCTAACACACGTTGTGAGGATCATCGATCTGAGATCGAGGTCGGTTCGGGGAGGGTACCTCCGCCACCAAAAAGATATGCACACACACACACCCTTCAATGGATTGTTCCTGGGCCTCATGGAAAGTGGACAGTGCATGAATCATCACTGGGAGCCGATGGCTCTATACACCCTCGCCTTCCCTGAAGATACACGCAACATTCGTCGGAGGGTGTTTGTGTACACTTTTTCGTGGCATGATACCCTACTGTGTTTCATGTCTATTGGATGTTCTTGTGCGTGTTGGGGGGGGTGGTACCTTCGAGTGCTCTTCCTATCGGCCGGCGGAGGGTTCCATGGTCTTGAAGGATGCTGTTCTCTCCTAGGTCCGACTGCACCCCTTGTTATGCTCGCCTTTGTGAGCCTCGTGGGTGGCCCTCGTCGCCACTGCTAGATTCGCCTCGAGAGCCTGGTCAGAGGTCTGTGGAGTACAGTCGGGCCGCTGAAGAAGGAACACTTCTCATTGGGGAGGGGCTCATTGCTCCTTACTGGTTTTGTAGTTCTTCTCCGGTTTTCTTCGGTCTTCCACTGGCAATCGAAGTATCAATTGTGGAAAAATGGGGCCTCGTTCCCGATTCAGGGCTCCTTATGGCAGCGTTTCGACTGAAGCGGTATCGGTACCCGTTGATTTCCCCAGGCACGTGGTCCGCAAGGTGGAGCCTCGGACGCCCCACTCTGGACGCCGCGAGGCGGCGTCGCGCGACGCGGCCCTTAGCGCACCCCAGCGCTATGACGTGGTGCACCAGGTCTCGAGGCGATCGAAACAGGTTCGGAATTACGAGTAGAGAAATCTGGGCCTCTCGGAGGGGCTCCGAGCAGATGGAGTCGGAGGATCGGCGCCGCCGATGCGTCGCCGAGGCGGCTCGATGTGGAGTCCGATTTTTGTCCGCGCAGGCGCCGCTGGTTCACCGCCGACGCCGCCGATGCATCCGCGGTGCCTCGGCGGTGCTTCAGGAGGGAAAAAAACACACAGACTCAATCCATCGTCGATTCCCAAGAACATATGGGAAAGTATGGGAAGTGGGGGGGAAGACCAAACCCCAGAAAATATAAGAAAATATGGGGAATCCTTTTATTTGTGTGGATTTACTTGTGCGTCCCAGGGCCCCTGCAGTGCCGGCCGATCCTCCGCCCCCACCCGGGGCGGGCCCCGTCCAGGAGGCGCCTCGGGAGAGCGACCGCGGCCTGCCCGCCCACCGTGGGCAGGGCCCCGCGGCCGCTGCCGCCGCGCGCGGCTGCCCTTCCCGGGCCAGGAGGCCGCCTGCCCACCGGTGCCGCAGGCCTAGAGATTGATCGGGGGTGGACAGAACCCCCAACAGTGACACGTCGATTAGTGAATTGTCCGTTTTCGGTTCTCGAGAGGGCGCGGTGGCCGTTATTTTCCAGGCTTGCGCCCGCCAGGTTTGGGCCTCAGGTCGTTTTCACTAAACCACGTTTTACTAAAGGGGGGTCTGTCCATCCCCGAATTGACGCCAGCACCAATTTCGGCGGTGTGCCTCCACCGAGGGAAGAAGACCCCGATCTCGGTGATGGTAGTAATATTCTGGCTTCCAAGGATTCCAAGGTGGCCGAACTATTACCACCAGCACCGAAATCTAGGATCACCCTCCCCCTGTGGAGGCAGCACCCTGTCTTGGTGTTGGTGCCAATCTCCAGGCCTCCGCCGGTGGCCGCGGTCGGTTTCGGGCAAGAGCTGCTGCTGTGCACCGCAGCCGTTCTCTCCGTGCCCATGCTTCGGGCGAAGAGAGCTGTGCACATGCACCGATTCCAGCAGGGGCCCATCCTTGACCCGGGATCGGTGCATGTGCCTTCCTGGCCAAGGCCGGAGGGCGCATGCACCGATCCTGGGCTCGGGATGGGCCTGGGAGGAATCGGTGCATGCGCCTAGTTTTTTTGTCCTGCAGTTCTGGGCGGCCAAGCAGGTCGCCTGCCGGGTGGCGAACATCTTCCGCTTCTTTCCCAGCTGCGAGGCCGTGACCGTCACCATCGAGCCGAAGTCCGTGGGCGACAGGCTCTCCACCAACGAGTCCCGCAGGATTCGCGCCGCAGGGGTTGCCGCCGCCGCTTGGCGGCGCGCACGAACGATTCCATAGTTCGGGGGCGTCCAAGACGGGAGGGGGGACGGGAAGGTCTCAACGTTTTCGATGGTTCTCGGATGCTTTCTCGCTTCGGGGTGCTTTCTTCCATCGGCTAACGCCTCTGCCCGAGCTGCTGCGGGATGGCCACAGGGCGTACGGTGAGGACTTGATGGGGAGGACATGATGGCTGGGACTTTGTGATGTCCCAGAACTCGGGGCCCCCTCTTCTTCTTCTTCTTCCAGCATGTTCCATACCACCCTCCCACCCTTCCTCGTCGGCGCACATTGCACATATCTCGGGCCATATTCGTGTCCCCCTCTTCCTTTTCTTCGTAGTACTCTTATTCTTTTTTTATAATCATCATCATCTTCTTCCCTATATCCTAAGATGGGGTTATTGTTCCCCATATCCAAAGAGATGGGGCTCTTGTTCCCCGTATCCTAAGTATTGGGTTCTTGTTATTGGCGGACCGCGTCGGAGGAACAGAGAGAGACCATAACACACCACTCCTCTCACTCAGACCCACTCACTCATCACTCAGACCCACTCATCACTCAGACCCACTCATCACTCAGACTCACTCATCACTCAGACTCATTCATCACTCGGACTCAGTCATGGCTCAGACTCATCACTCATCACTCATACTCACTCATCACTCAGACTCACTCATCACTCAGACTCACTCATCACTCAGACTCACTCGTACTTGTATTCATACATTCACTACACTCACTCAGGTCCACTCATCGGATGACACACACACTGATGTTGAGGATGTCTCAGGCGATTCTGTGGCTTCAGCACTCCTAAGGGGAGCGGCGGGGGGGTGTCTCACTCGCCCCCTTTTGCAGGATTGTATGGGGATGTCTCGAGCGGTTTGCATGTTTTCTGTCCCAGCATCCTTCGCTTTCGGAGCAGATTTGGAGGATGTCTCGAGCGAGGCGCTCATTTTGACGTTCCTAATGGGAGCGGCGGGTAGGTGTTTCATTCGGCCCCTTTCACGAGGTTTTGTGGGGATGTCTCGAGCGGTTTGCTTGTTTTCTGTGCCAGCATCATTCGTTTTCGGAGCAGATTTGGAGGATGTCTCGAGCGAGGCGCTCATGTTCACCCCTCAGGTGGGCCAGAGTTTGAGGATGTCTCGATCGGTTTGCTTGTTTTGGTGGCCAGGCTCGTGGGCGCAGATTCTTTTCAGGATGCCACAGGAGGCTCCAACAGGCTCCAGGAGGCCCCAGGAGACCACATGAGGTGCCAGGAGGCATCAGGAGGCCACAGAAAGATTCAAGAGGCCACAGGATGTCCCAATAGGCTCCAGGAGGCCCCAGGAAGCTCCAGAAGGCCTCAGGAAACCACAGGAGGCCCCAGGAGGCAACAGGAAGCGCCAGGAGGCCTCGGAAGGCAACAGGAGGCCCCGAGAGGCCCCAGGAGCAGGAGGCCTCAGAAGCCAACAGGAGTGGCTCCAATCCCATGTGTTTTACGTATGCTCCTATCGATTGGGCCTCATCTGGAGCACGATTATTTGATGTTATACGTATGTTTCTATAGATTGTCCTTCTCCTGTGTACACAATCCTACATGTTTTACTTATGTTCCTATATATTGTGCCTCTCCTGGGGCACGAGTCCTTGATGTTTTACGCGTGTTCCTATATATTGCCCTTCTCCTGTGACTTTAATCCGCAATGTTTTATGTACGTCTGTTGCTATATATTGCACCTCTCCTGGGGCACGAAACCTCCCTAGGAGGTCCCAGGAGGCCCCAAGAGGCTCCTGGAGACCCCAGGAAGCCCCAGTAGGTTAGACATTCACGGCGGACAGGTCCATGCGAATAGATGCACATATGGGGAGCTCCACGCAGTGAATAATTACTGGCGGACCGCGCCGGAGGAACAGAGAGAGAACAAAACACCCCCTCACTTCCTCTCACTCAGACCCACTCACTCATCACTCAGACTCACTCATCACTCAGACCCACTCATCACTCAGACTCACTCATCACTCAGACCCACTCATCACTCGGACTCAGCCATGACTCAGACTCATCACCCATCACTCATCACTCAGACTCACTCATCACTCAGACTCACTCATCACTCAGACTCATTCATCACTCAGACTCACCCGTACTTGTATTCATACATTCACTACCAGGTCCACTCATCAGATGACTCACACACACTGATGTTGAGGATGTCTCAGGCGATTCTATGGCTTCAGCACTCCTAAGGGGAGCGGCGGAGGGGTATTGCACTCTTCCCCTTTCGCAAGATTTTGTGGGGATGTTTCGGGCGGTTTGTCCATTTTCTCTTCCAACATGTTTCGCTTTCGGAGCAGATTTGGAGGATGTCTCAAGCGACTCGCTGGTTTCAGCACTCCTAAGGGGAGCGGCGAGGGGTATTGCACTCGGCCCCTTTCGCGGGATTTTGTAAGGATGTCTCAGGCGGTTTGGCATTTTTTCTCTCAGCATGTTCCGCTTTCGGAGCAATTTTGGGAGGATGTCTCAGGCGATTCGCTGGTTTCAGCACTCTAAGGGGAGCGGCGGGGGGGGATTTCATCCGGCCCCTTTCGCAGGATTTGGTGTGGATGTCTCAGGCGGTTTGGCCATTTTCTCTTCCAACATGTTTCGCTTCCGGAGCAGATTTGGAGGATGTGTCAGGCGATTCTGTGGCTTCAGCACTCCTAAGGGGAGCGGCGGGGGGTATTGCACTCGTCCCCTTTCGCAAGATTTTGTGGGGATGTCTCGGGCGGTTTGTCCATTTTCTTTTCCAGCATGTTTCGCTTTCGGAGCAGATTTGGAGGACGTTCGCGCCCAGTTTGCGGGGATGTCTCAGGCGGTTTGGCTGTTAGGATGCTGGGCATCTGTCGTTTTCGGAGCAGTTTTGGGAGGATGTCTCAGGCGATTTGCTGGTTTCAGCGCTCCCAAGAAAGAGGAGGAGGAGGAGGAGGAGGAGGAGGAGGAAGAGAAGGAGGAAGCGAAGAGGAGGAGGAAGCGGACGAGTAGGAGGAGGAGGAGGAGGAGGAGGAGGAGGAGGAGGAGGAAGAAAAGGAGGAAGGGGAGGAGGAGGAAGGGAAGGAGGACGCGAAGAGGAGGAGGAAGCGGACGAGTAGGAGGAAGAGGAGGAGGAGAAGGAGGACAGCATGAACACTGTAGGAGCAGAAGCAATAAGGGGATGATGATGATGATGATGATGATGGTGAGAAGGAGGAGAAGGAGGAGGACGTGGGCAACTCGAGTAGCCAGGGCCAGACGATCGAGGTTCGATGTTCCAAGGCTTTAGGTTTTACTCAAACGCTTCCGCCTCACTCTCCTGCGCTCTCTGCTCTCCTTCACCCTTCTGCATTCATACTCACTCGTACTCAGACTCAGTCACACGCAGGCTCACTCGCACTTAGGCTCGCTCATATCCGTACTTACACTTACTCACACTCAGACTCGCGCTCAGAACATCTCATACTCAGACTCGCTCCTGCTCGGACTCATCATCCTTCGTTCCGCTCAAACGCAGACCGGCCACACTCAGACTGCCTCGCATCCATACCCACTCACACTCGGGTCGCTCACACTCACCCGCTCAAGCCCAGACTCACTCATGCTCAGACACATCATGCTACAATCCGCTCAATCACAGACTGGCTCACACTCAGGTTCGTCCGTACTCAGACCCACTCGCACACAGAGGCACTCGCGCTCATATCTATTCACACGCGTACCCACTCAAACCCAGGCTCAATCGCACCCAAATTTATTCACACTCAGAATCGGTCGCTCTCAGATTTGCTATTGGTTGCACTCATGCTTGCAGACTGTGGGAATGTCTTGAGTGAGCGGTTCGCCCTCGCACACAGGCGCGCATTGACATATATCAATAGAAAGACGTACTAAGATAATGATATGCACATATGGGGAGCCCCGCGTCGAGTAATTATTACTTGGGCGCCTCCTACTCCTCCTTCACCTCCTCCTCCGTCTCATACGTAGAATTATTCATACACAGACTTACTCAGACACCGACTTCCTGACACTCAGACCTCATTTTATTTCCCCATATCATGAGACGGGGTTCTTGTTCCCCATATCCTAAGTATGGGTTTCTTGTTATTGGCGGACCACGCCGGAGGAGAGAGAACACACCACTCCTCTCACTCAGACCCACTCGCTCATCACGCAGACTCACTCATCACTCAGACCCACTCATCACTCAGACTCACTTAACTTATCACTCAGACTCACTCATCACCCGGACTCAGTCATGACTCAGACTCATCACTCACCACTCAGACTCATTCATCACTCAGACTCAGTCATCACTCAGGAGCAGATTTGGAGGATGTCTCTGGCGATTCGCTGGTTTCAACACTCGTAAGGGGAGCGGCGGGGGGGTATTGCACTCGGCCCCTTTCGCGGATTTTGTGGGGATGTCTCAGGCGATTTGGCCATTTTCTCTTCCAGCATGTTCCGCTTTCGGAGCAGATTTGGAGGATGTCTCATGCGATTCGGTGGTTTCAGCACTCCTGAGGGGGGCGGCGGGGGGGTATTGCACTCGGCCCCCTTCGCGGGATTCTGTGGGGATGTATCAGGCGGTTTGGCAATTTTCTCTTCCAGCATGTTTCGCTTTCGGAGCAGATTTGGAGGATGTCTCAAGCGATTCGCTGGTTTCAGCACTTCTACGGGGAGGGGCGGGGGGGTATTTCATTCAGCCCCTTTCGCATGATTTTGTGGGGGTGTTACAGGCGGTTTGGCCATTTTTTCTTCCAGCACGTTTCGCTTTCGGAACAGATTTGGAGGACGTTCGCGCCCAGTTTGCGGGGATGTCTCGGGCGGTTTGGCCGTGATGTTGCTGGGCATCTGTTGTTTTCGGAACAGTTTTGGGAGGATGTCTCAGGCGATTTGCTGGTTTCAACACTCCCAAGGAGGAGGAGAAGGAGGAGGAGGAGGAGGAGGAGGAGGAGGAAGAGGAGGAGGAAGAGGAGGAGGAGGAGGAATACTTAGACTCGCACATCACACGCAGGCTCAG